AAACAAAGAAACAAAAAACCCAATAAACAAAACAAAAACCATGACAAAAAAAAAAAAAAAATTCATCTAAATTTTGCCTTTAAAGTATGTTTACTACCAGGACTGAAGGAGAATGGCTGTTCTAGGATAAGTTAATTTCTTCTCCACAGTATTTACCCATCAAAATCATCAAATAAGTGATCCGTTTCAAGCTGCTCATGTGGTGGTATACATGAGGCTGAGGCTGAGGCAGGACCAACCCGTCTTGATGTCCAGGTCAACCTGTTCAAGGCTAGCTGGGACTCCATAAGTAGGCACTTTTTCAAAATATACATAAAACAAAATGGTTTTAAGTTCCATGGTGTCTATTTTGTAGACCATAGGCTGGCTGGATGCCTGGAATGCCTGGGACAGAGAGCAGATGCTGAGTGAACATCTGCTGGACTGGAAAACGAGGCCTCTAGAGACTAAAACAGTCACAAGATCCCTGTACCTGCTCAGAAAGTCTCAGAGCAGCAGCTAACAAAAGTCAAGGAGGAAACTGTTATGGAAAGACAGCAGTGAGAAGGCGCTTTAGCCTATTCTGCTAATGAAAATTCCAAGTCGACAAAAATATGGAGAAGAAGGAGACACAGAATCAGACCATCCAAGGTTAAATACACAGGACAGAATCAAACTGTTAGAAATAGAGGGTCATAGATTGTTCCCTTCTCACCAAAGAAATGGTCTTAAGGAAAGACTAGGAAGTAATGTATTTGTTTCCCTGGGGAATAAAAAGGAAATGTACATACAGTTCTTACAACTTTTTTTTTAAAAAATCCTTTTCCATTTCCATCTCTCTTCTTGTCTTTCCTCCCTGTCTTAGTGTTTCTGTTGCTGTGATAAAACCACTTTGACCTAAAGTAACTAGGCCCACCCTTATGGGTCACAATCACTAAGGGAACTCTATGGAAGAAATGCTGCTTCTCGGCTTGCTCCTAATGGCTTGCTCAACCTGCTTTCTTATACCATTCAAGACCATACAAAACAAAAGTTCCTATGGGCCAGGTTGGACCCTGTCACTGCTGGCTCTTTAGGAGACAGTTCTTTGTTCAACAATACTGCTGGGCCTGTGTACAAGGGCATTTAATCCTGCAGGGTCTTGGTTTACATATCTGTAAAATGGAGGACAAATTATATTTTCTTTCCAATCTAAAAAAAAAAAATCCACAAAATAAGTTACTGGTACTATTATTAGTATATTCTAACCAAACACTGACTGAACTCCATGAGCAAGTACATTTTAACCATATTTGGAATGTCATGTCAAAATGGGTAAATGGGTGTTCATGGCAACACTTTGAGAGCTAATACTTTCCAGATTGGTTTTAAAGAACACATAAGCACACTACCACAATGGAAGGCTAGTACTGCCTAGTTGTCCTTTTTGTATAAGCTTCTAGGCCCAGTATATCTAATTATTCAAAATAACCAAAAGGGCTGGGGAAATGACTCAGCAGTTAAGAATACTTGTTGCTCTCACAGAAGACCTGGATTCAGTTCCCAGCACCCAAATTGTGACTCAGAACCATCTGTAACTCTAGTTACAGGGGATCTCTTTTGACTTCCTTGGGCACCAGGGAAACATATGGTACATCTTCAGGAAAAACACTCATACACATAAAATCAAATGAATAAATCTTTTTTCAAATGTCAATGCAGCTTAGCAAAGAACTGGTAAATTTAAAGAATCAGAGCTGTTGCTCAGCATCGCTTTCTAAGCACAGAATCGTCCCATCAGAAGATCAATTACTTTAGCTGTTTGTGCTGTCCGGCCTCTCCCATCACTGTGTCTCCACTGAAGAACAAAGGCTGTTCTGTAGCTTAATAACTGATATGGAGAGATGTACAACATGCATTTTTGATGGAAAAGTCAGCTGAAAATATGATTACTAATATTAATTCCATTTTGGTAAGCCCCACTCACACCCACACATTGTACACATTTACCTAATAAGTAAATTTGCTAATAAGTTAGCGGGTTTTTAATTTTAGAGAGTGTGTATACATGTGTGGGTGTTCACATGCTACAGTGTGGAAGTCAGAAGGCAACTGGTAGAAAATGGTTCTCTCCTTCCACATTATTTGGGTCGGAGGAATGAATTCAGGTCCTCGGGCAACAAGTTCCTTTAGCTAGTACATCATCTCCTCAGCACAAGTTTATTACATGATGGCTAACACCACATCCAGTCATGTCTGCTGTACACTGCCAGGCACTCTGTGCAACATGTGCCTAAGGCTGGGCTAGGGTAGGGATGCTGAGATGTTTCTAGGTATCAGCTATCACATAGTAAGGTAGTCCCAGATTTCTGCCTCTTATACACCTCAACTTTCACAACCACCAGCTTTCCATTTACCACTAACCCTCTGAACAGTTTACAAACATGACCAAAGGTGCCAAGCTATGGTTCTGGATTTTACCTGCCATGGTCACTTAGGAGAACTGATGACAAAACAACTCAGGTTACTTTGGCAGAGATCCAAAAGCTGGAGTTAACTATTATTCTACACTTTAGGCTATCAAATGTAATCCCTTTGGATCACAAGGGGAAAAAAGAGATCTTATTTAACAACTTCATCATCAAATACTTCAGTGAATGCTTTTGAACAGAAAGTGCTGACCCTTGATAGTTTCTATTTTGGCTTACTGAAGCTACCTTTGCAAGTTCCAAGATCTGATCCACAAGCTTATCTCCAGAAGAAGGCATCATTACACTCCAAGGTGTAAAGGTTCTGGCAACTTAGTCATTCACAGACAAGAAAGCTCTAAGAAACTGCAAATTTGCCAACTAGGAAAGGCTGGTATGAAGAAAGAGGCAGTGGGCTGGAGATGTGACTCGGTGGTAGAACACCCTGGATTTTCTTTCCAGAACTGCACAACAGGGGAAAAAGTAATACCAGATGGGATGGGGCCTCTTCAGAGTAGTGTGGCTCAAGGTGGTAAAGATGAAGATCAAAATTAAATAAGATGCACACATACCCCTCAGGACATACAAGAAAGACAGTAAAGTAGGAGGAGAGTAGAAATAGTGGGTACCAGTCTTCACAAAAGTGTTATGAGGCTCCCACTGGGTGAACCAAGAGGGTGTCAGACTTGAAGTTCCCAGCCACATACTCAACACTCTCAGGGCTGCTCATCCATTTCTGGTAGTGTGATGGCTAGCAAAGCTATCTACTTCCAAATAAACTGCTTTCTCACCTCCTCCTACCATTATCTTTTAATAAACCATGCATAGTTGAGTTGAGAACATTATCCAGTATAAATTACAACCAAGATGACAAGCCCCTCACAAGACTGTTTTAAATGCAAAAGCACAAAAGTGCCTTCTAAAAAGACCCAAAAACTATGACCACGGTGAGCTCAGCCACTCACTACCTTTCCTACCACCTCTCAGAGGAAATACAGCAGGGCCTGTGGGCAGAGTGCACTTTCAAATGAAGGAGTTGAGCATTTTTGAACTCTGGCCACACTTCAGAAGACTTCTCACTTGTAGTTTATATTAACAAAACAGGAAAGGTTAAAATCAGTTATCTTTCTACTAGGGTGCTATCAAAGAAAGACAATGAGAAACTGACCACATTACCACTAGGGAATACAGGGAGAGACTGGTGAAAATGGAAGACAACCCTGCCTGTCTATCAAGTTCTGACAGAGGAAGTGGTTTTTATTTGAAAATTAAGACTAAAACTAGGACCCATTTTAATACTGTCCACTAGATGTCTTGATTTCCAGACATATATGCAAACACCGCCAAGGCCCCAGGGATACCTTAACAGGTGAAAAGTGGAAGACATTGGGAGGCAGTGAATTTGGCAAGGCCATCTACCTGCATACTACTGATCAAGCTGCAGAAGTTGGGCATAGTAGTTCTGCCTTTAAGTCTCTGGAGGCAGAAGCAGGCAGATGGATGCTGAGTTCCAGGACAGCCAGGCTACATAAGAGAGAGACCCCATCTCCAAAAAACAAACAAGTAAACTTGCATAAACAGAAAAAAAAAAAAAACACAACCTTCACAAATCCAAAATGAGAAGGTGTCTATTAAAACATAAAAAAGTCCCAGAAGTCTTCAACATGGCTAGGAGTTCTGATAGCTCTAACCTCCTCCCTGTGTCTTCTCATCCTGCTCATCCTGAAAAACAGTCAAAGGGCAGCGTTCCCTAGGCTGTCCAGGACCCCTTGCCTATACCACTCTTCCCAGGTACCTAACATCTTCCCGGTCTTGACTGAAATACCACCTTTGTAGGAATGAAAAGATGCCTCCCCCCCCCACCCACCATTATCTTCTAAATACCATACAATTAACTTATGTATATCGTTTATTCGGTTTCTCATTTTACATAAGCTCCCGGGGAACACGATCTTTGTTCTGTTCACTGATACTTATCACAAGCGTTCAGAAGCGTACCTGGCACACAGTAGGTGCTCAGAAAGTATTTCCGGAATGAATGCACTTCTTGACTAAAACTGCACAGATTGGAAGGGGTGAGCGTGAAATGGGAAGAAGCGGGAAGAGGATTCTCTGGGGAGAGACCGAAAGAGGCCACGGCCGACCCACATTCTCTACAGCAGCTCCGATGGGAGGCAGTGCACCAAGTCCCGCCAGCGGCATCAAATGGCACTAAAGGCGGCAGGATCCGCGACAGACGAGCTCTCAAAATTCACGGAGAAAAGTCCAGAGCAGAGCAGTACCAGGCTGCGGGCTGCTGGAAGAACTCCGCAGGGGTCACGACCACGCAGCCCTTCGGATACCTGAGTCGCCCCGGCCGCAGGACCTCCCGGACTCCCGCTCCCGTCCATAGGCGCGGTGACGAGCGACAGGGCCCTGCCCCAGCACCTGCACCGCCAGCCGCAGGGGTCCGGGCCGCGTCCCTCCCGGAGGCCCCAGGGCATCCAGCCACCTCGCCCCGCCCGGCACCCGGGCAGGAAGCGCCCCTGCCCCGGCCGCTCCACCCGCCGCCGCGCTCGCCCCGCGCTCTCTCACCTCAGGGCGCACATACGATACGAAGGAAGGCTTGGGCGCCTTGGTGCCGCCGCCACCGCCGACTCCCCCTTTCCCCAGCATTCCCCCGCCTGGCGAAGCAGCGACGCGAGGCAGCAGAGGCGGCGGTTCAGCCTCGGGCTTCGGCAGCGGCGGCGGCCACCAGCACCAGCGGCCGGGGCTCCGCCCATCCCTAGGGCCGCGACGGCCGCGGTACAGCCCGCATCCGGCTCCGCCGCTGACACTGTTCGCTCCGCCCAGGTCGCGCGCCCCGCCTACCGACCGTGGGGCCCGCCCAAAGCCCCGGATCAGGCCACGCCCATTCTCTTGTTGGCCGGAACGTCCGAGCGCCTCTCCTGTTTGGCTATCGGAGGCAGAGCCCGCCCTCCGGGCGATCTGATTGGCACGGGGACCTACCTGATTTGCTCTGGCCAATCCTGAGAGCGTTCTCTCCGGGCTTCCCCACGATTGGACAGCGAAAACGTCGCCGTTTGTCCAATGATCCTGCGGTCACCAAGTCGTTGACTGACCAAGTCAGTCAGTTCTTCAAAGCTCCTGCTTTATTAATTTGCCAGCCGCTTTGAAGTTCAGCGTCCGAGAAGCTTGCTGAACAGGATCCCATCGTAGAAGCTTCAAATCCACATCGACGATGTTCAGACTTTAACTTTAGACAAAAGAGAGACACAGAGCAGACAGAAACTAAGTAGTAGACTGAAGTGACCATAAAGTGTTTTGTCACTCCAGAGGCAGAGGCAGGTGGATCTCTGTGAGTTCAAGATCAGCCTGGTCTACAAAAATAAGTTTCAGGACGGCCAGAGTTGTTACACAGAGAAACCCTGTTTCCCTATCAGAAATAAACAAAAAACCCACAAAATGTTTTGTCAACTTCAAACTTCTTTTGTTCGTTGCTTTGTTTCTAATTGGTAAGATATCAAAAGCCCTTAAGATTTATCTAGTCTCAAAAAATAAAAAGATTTATCTAGTCTCCCAAGTTATGGTCAAACTTCTAATTTTACGTCAAGATTGCAAATAAAACACACACAGTTCGTTTAAATTCCACCTTTGGGGCACCTGCCTCGCATGAGCAAGACCAAAGTGAATTCTGCCTCTGGAGTATTGCGTTAGACAGAAGACTGGATGCAGTTCGCTACAAGTCAATCTACTGGGACAAGCCAAAAAACATTTGCAGTTAAATTTTCAAGTGCCAGGCACCTTGCTGAGCATTAGTCTAACCAGTAGGCTTGGTTTGTTTGTTTGCTTGCTTTAAATCCCAGCTGAGTACGACTCCTTCCCAAAGCTCTCTGATATAAAATATAATTGAGAAAGTAAAGTGGGGGCGGCAGTGCACACCTGACATCGCAGCACCAAAGAGGCCAAACAATTAGATTATTAATTTGGACTCAGACTACTTTGGAAGTTTCAGGTCAACCTGGGCTACAAATAAGACCATCTCAAAAACTAGCAAAAGATTAACTGAATTCCTCCAGATCGGTTCCCAGGAAGAAGTCAAGGGGCCCCCAGTTCAGTTGTGAGAATTTACCAGAAAAATTCTATTGTTTTAGTTTTCAACATCTGGCACAATCCATGAACAGAAATACTGGCTTTTGATGGAAAGTTACCAAGCAAGTGTCCCTCCCTTCATGCCATCGTGCATTAAACTTTACATTATTACCCTGATCTTTAATATCTGCTGATAGTCAAGCCCAGTTGTAGTTTGATGCTGTAATTTTCACACTACCTCTAGAGCTATACACTTCTCAGGAATTAAAGCCAACAAATCAGAGTTTTTTAAATACCAAAAAGCCAGTTGATTTGCCATCTGCTGGATGTGCCCTCCCCTTCCCCTTTCCACTTCATATGTTAGAACATAATCCCATGTGATACTGTTAAGAGATGGGGCTTGAATTAAGTCTTGGAATGTCCTTGTTACAGAGATCAGAGGGTTCTGGTTAGCCTTTCCCCATAAAAGGGCTCAGCAAGAATGTGTCATTGTTGAACAGGGGCACTCCTCCCACTTTGGAATCTACTGATGCCTTGTTCTGGACTTCCCTAGCCTCCACAACAGTGAGGAGCAACTTTCTATTATCTATAAATTATCACCTGTGAAGTACTCTATTACAGCAGTAGGCAGAGACTCATGCTTCCAGAGTCAATTTTCACTCACTGATAAACACTGGGGGTTTTAAGTGTGTGTGTGTGTGTGTGTACTCATGTGTGGGTGCCCATGGGGATGTCTTGTATTCCCTGGGGCTGGAGTTACAGGCAGTTATAAAATACCCAGTGTTGGTACTTGGAGCCAAATTCAGGTCAAGAGCAAATGCTCCTAATTCCTGAGCCATCTCTCCAGCCCTGATAGGTAATCTTGATTGTCAACTCTGGAATCTGGAATGAACAACAGACACACCCATCAACAGGTCTCTGAGGGCATTTCCAGAAAGCCTCAACTCAGGCGAAAAAAACATCCCTCAAGAGCAGGCTGACCTCAGAGCAGGTGGCCCAAATATAAACACCCAGAGAATGTCAGTGCAGCTCCCTTGCCTGTCTTGGTTCTGACTGGAGAGTGTGGCTGACCTCGTAGCTGCAATTGTTGTCATCCTGCACTGACATCAGGTTCTAACCTGGACCTGTGGCTCTCCAGGAATCTCCCAGGCCTTCGGCACCACACTGGGACTGCTGAGGTGTGCAGCTCCTTGGATTGAGATGCTATCAAGGTTCTCAGCCTCTCCAGACAGCCATTGTTGGGCCACACAGTCCATATCAATTGTCAGCCTTCCTGGTAAATTCCCTTTTAGTATAATTGGTTCTACTTATCTAGTCCTACCTATCAGACATACTTTCTTTAATTAAGGGACAGTAAGAAAGGGAATAAGAGTGGAAAACAAACTAAAAACAGTTTCTATCTTGCCCTTATGGTTTTCCAGCTGCAAGCATAGTTTTATCTTTAGCGTGTGGGTCAAATCTCATGAGAAGAGTCATCCCCCCTAACTGAAAAACCCATCCTACTGAGGTCAAACTATTCTTTATCTATTGGTAAACAGCTGGGCCTGGAGACGACTCCGCAGATAAGAGCACTTGCTGCTCTTCCAGAGGACCCAGCACTTACATGGTATCTCACAACCACCTATAACTCCAGTTCTAGGGGATCCAATTGCATTTTCGGGCCATATAGGGCACAAACACACGCGTGGGATCCATCAAAACAGGTGGAGGCAAAACATTCATATAAAATTAAAAAATAAATATTTTTAAAGGAACACACAGATGGTAATTTGGAAATTGTCAAATGATTTTATTTTCATCTAAGAGTTAAAGGGTTAACCTTTTCTCCCCTTGTCATCCTAATTTCTCAGTGGCTTTGAAACAGGAACATATCTTAGCATGCCTAGCACTAAACACCTGACACATGCTCCTCCCAGATGGCACCACACTTGATTATGGCACACAGCTGCATGAAGCTTAGCCATTGACATTTCTTCCTCTCTGGAATTCCCTGATGCAGTCCATTTATGTCTCCTTCACATTCAGTAAATTCAGTAAATATTTGCACTTGAATGGGTGAAGTTGCTTTATGTGAACAACAGATCAGTAATCAAGGAAGCAAAATACACAAACGTTTCTGTATATATACATGTGTGTAGAGGCCAGGAGTCATTCTTGGGTGTTATTTGTTGGGTACCACCCACCTTGTTTTTAGAGACAGCATCTGTAACTGGCCTGGAGCTTGCCAAGTGGGCTGCATTAGCTGGCCAATGAGACCCAGGCTCCACCTGTCTCTGCCTCTTCTTTTTGCTGTTGCTGTTTTGTTTTTTTCTTTTTAACTTGTGTTCCTAACAATAATTTCTCCAACTGAATTAACTTCCCAGGCTTTGTGTGTATGATTTCGTGACCACTATCCACATTTCAACTTTACCAAATTGTCTGGTGTCTTCAGGCTTCTTTCTTTATCCTGGACGTTGAGGCAGGAAGATCACAAATTTAAAGACAGCTGTGTAACATAGCCAGACATAGCCAGCCAGCCACAGAGGGAGATTTCTTATCTTCTTGCTAGAACGAAGAGTTTTTCTACTCTCCTCTGGATATGATGAAGCATTTGACAGTCAGTAGGTGTCAGTGGCGAATGCCTTTAATCCCAGCATTCAGGAAGCAGAGGCAGGCAGATCTCTATGAGTTTGAGGCCAGCCTGGTCTACAGAGTGAGTTCTAGAATAGCCAGGGTTATACAAGGAAACCCTGTCTCAAAAAACCAAAAAGAAAATAAAAGAAGTAGTAGCAGCATTTGGATTCTTCATCTTAAAGCATTGTAATGAACATAGTGAAAAAGTACCTTTTAGTCAAGTAAAACTAGCTTAACCAGGAACCCCAGTACACCAGAACTCAGTGACACTGCTCACTCAAGATAACCAGACACAGTCCTGTAAGCTAGTGACAGTATATAAGCAGAGGTCAAGAGCAAACTGTGCTCTGCACATCTGGAGAGACATCACCTTGATCTGCCCCGTGGTTGCAGAGTCTCCCCCAGGATCCTGACCCTAGAGTCGGAGACTTCTGGTAGAGACTGGATCTGACCTTCAGCTAAGATATATGTCTTAGGCTTAGGACTAGAGTCAAGAATTTAGTGTGTGAACCTAGTGAGATGACCCTCAGCATAATAAAATATAACTTGTTATACTAACCATGGGTGTCTACCTTTTTGCTCATGACAGGACAGCCTACTGGAAATGTTTAATTTTTTAAAAATGTTTTCTGTTGTGCTGTCCAGGCTGGTCTCAAACTCCTTGGCTCAAGCCACCAACTTCTGCAATAGCTTAGACTACAGTAAGGGACCAACACACTCAGCTCAGTTTTTTGATCACAAAATATACAGCCTAAGCTGCTCATATGGTTAGAAGCCTAATGAGTCTCCTTATTGTATACTGCCTTCTTCAAGCCAGTGGCTTGTTTTATTCATTAAAAAAAGGTTGGCCAGTGGTCCATTGTGACTCACTCCAACCTGTCTAGTGCAGAGGATTCTTGAGAACAGTATGCTCTCCGTGTCCTTCACAACAAGGCCAACACTAGCCACTGAGTGCTACACTGCTAAGCAAATCCACAGCAAGGATCAGAGGCACAGGGGTTCTCACTAGCTGTGGATGTGAGGATAGATTGAAGAGGCAGGAGAT